GTACTCCACTACTTTAACGAGAACCAGATATATATACTGGAATTGTCCAGTCAGGACCTCAGTCAAGCTAAGAATCTCTGGTTGAATTTAAAGACTGTTGGACGCAAAGAGCACCCAAGTCCAGGTTAGATGGGCCAAGATCATGAAGACAGACCTAATGCTGTACCTGTTACTAAAGGTGGTGACACAAATGATTGCGTTTCAGGGGAGCTATGAATGCTAAAATTGTCTATACAATATAAAATACAGACCTCCAAAATTTATTTTTAAAATTTAGATACTAAGGCAACAAAACAGAAAGGATGACATTTCTTTTTTTTTTTTTTTTTTTTTTTTTTGCAAATCACAGTACATGTAAGTCCTCAGTTTTCAACTGAACTTTTTTCAAGTGACAGCCCAAAGCTAGTTTTCCAACAAAAAAATATGTGACCAAAACGTTTATGAAGATCTTGGCTGCCATGCTTCATTCTCAGTGAAGAAACAGGGTCTACATAAAGCTAAACTGTGGGATTAGGGGCACTAGGGATTAGAACACTACACTATCTGCATGTACAATGGCATTTCTTACATTTCTAAAACAAAGGGTTTATTTATTGTTTCTAAAACCTTTCCACACATACCTTAGAATCAAAGTTAGCAATAATCATGGCTCCTAGTGGGCCTCCTCTGAAGCAATGAGGCACTGAAGTCTCATAGTGACGAATCTGCTCCAACAGAGGATTTATCTGGAAGAAATCAGCCTCTCGACGCAGCAGTGAAAGTTCTGAGAAGCCATCGGGAAGGTCCAAGGAGCTTGACCGTAGGAAATTCAGGATGTACCTAAACACTTTACCATCTCGGTCAATGAAGATGTTCCCCCTGTTGTCCCTCAGCACAGGGATTTTTCCAGTGAACATGGCCCCCAGCATTGAGTCACGGCAGCGTGTCAGAGTGTCCAGGGTCGTCGTATAAATTTCTCCACCAACATTCAGCGAGACCGGGTCCTGTATAGAGTTACTGTTGCTGTTGTCATCAACTGAGTGGAGATCCAACATCTTGGGGTGAAGCAGTGATATCTGTGACCCTGCAGAGCTCACTCTGGTGTTGATCTGGTCAGAAATGTTGAGGACTAAGAATTGCAGGAATTCAAAGTGCTTTTTTTATTCGTATCAAAGACGAGCAGAGATCCAAATTATCTGCCAAGTTTGGAGAGATCTCCCAAGTTTGAGTCAAAAGTTGTAGATTTACTTGAAAAAAAGGCTTTTGTTTTTTTCTTCAGTGTTGTTTCAAAGAAAATGTGCCATCCTTAAAAAGGTAAGCAATTTATGGAGCCAAGTAAATGGTGTAAAATCCCAGCAGTCTGACTAAGTTAAAGCAGAAAGACAGGAGTGCTGCAGCGAGCAGACCAGCATGCTAATACTGGACAGTGCTGGCTCTGTTACTGCGAATCTCTCTTTTATTTGAGGCTCATACACACTGATCTCTCACTTTCACACACACTGGAGCTGGAGTCTGAGAAAAAGACAGGGGACTGGTCAGTTTGTCTGGAAACTGCCCCCTTTAAAGTGACAGCCAGAACGCAGAAGGCAGCCTGTTTCATCCCCTGTGAACAAATGTTCTCCGACACTTTATTTCAAATACCCTCTGGAATGCAAAGGTCTTCCAGAGAACAGAATCACCACAACAGTTCCTCGAGTTAGCAATGGGAAAAACAAGGTTTCTTTCAATTCTCTGATTCAAACAGAGCCAAATTAAGATCAATCCTACTTTGTCTTCTACAGCTTTCAATAGAAAACCCAAGAGAAATTTATTATTTTCATTCCATTCACTGCCTTTTGGAGGGCATTAAAGCCATTTAAACACAAAACTTAATTTACAAATTCCCTACACAGGGATGTATGTCGCATGTGCTATGAAAAAAACTGTTGTGCAATAAAAGAAAAAACTACGTAGCACTGGTGCGACAGCTTTGGAAGCTGCCGCATTTTTTATTTTTGTTTGTAAATCTAATTTTCATAATGCAGGAAATTGTTGCATACAATAAATTTGTGCTTAAAGGGGCTGTATCATGTAAAATCAACTTTGAGTTTTATATCATGTTACAATGTTATCCTCTCATCAAAAACATGCCCAGAGTCTTACTTTGACTCACTCATGCATGTTTGAGAAATCCTGTGCTGTCCTGAAAAAACAGCATTTTAATAACAGCTAAAGGTGACACAGATACTTTATTATGGTATAGAATTTAAATATATGCCTGAGAAACGCATAATATTGGCCCTTTAATTAGTAGACATCCTCAGTTGAAATGAAATTTAAATGAAATTGAAATGTTTGTTACGTATTGTAATCATATCTTTCAATGCTAACCGTGTTAATGTGAGAATCTGATGTTTGAAATCATATCTGCACTGATTTTAACTGATGAGTGAAGAAGTTAAATGTTGAGCTGTGTATAAATTAAACATGAAATAATTTAATAAATTAACCAAAGATAAAAAAAAAAAACTTTTAACCATTGATATATTTTTGTAAAACTATGCAAGTATGAATAATGTCAGTAAATTTGAAATGTAAATAATTAATATGAAATTTCGCACTTCGAATTGAAAGAACTAAAAGTTTCTGGTTATTTTGTTCATTTGACTTTAATTAAGTACTTTTGTGGGTTAAGATTGAGTGTTTGCTAAATTTATTTTGTTGTTTATTTTGCAGTCTGAGTAAAATAATTTATGTAAGACTTAAATAATACAGGCACATGAGTAATATTAATTTATTTGCTTATTTATTTATTTTCTTCTGTTGGGGGTTTTCAAAGGTTTTTTACCTGCTTCTGGACCAAATGTAAAAAAGCCACTTCCTAACACTGATAAATAAATGGGAGATAAAAGGAACCTAACCTAACCCTAACCAATTAAAGGAGAACTCGACAGTCCATGTGCCAACTGTCAGTATGAAAGCTTCACTCTCTATGATAGGAGACCTGTGTTAAAGATTGGAGGGTTTTTTTCTGGCCTCATACAGAATAATATACAGGTGCTGGTCATAAAATTAGAATATCATGAAAAAGTAGATTTATTTCAGTAATTCCATTTAAAAAGTGAAACTTGTATATTATATTCATACATTACATACAAACTCATATATTT